TCTCCCTCTGCTTACACAATTGGCAGCAGGAAGAAGCTTTGATCTTACTGTAATCTGACAACTCTACCTGAGGCTCAACATCAATAAGGCAAGAGCTGCTAAAAATATGTCTTCTTCTCTCCCGTTTACCTTACACCGTTCCCCCGTTTCCCCTCAGCATTTTGTTTCTCTGAAACTGCTAAGTTAGCTACAAGCTCTTCCCCAGGCTCCATCCTCCTCCTCCAACTGCTTCCGTCTCTCCTGTATTTTTTTCCACATCTCCAAAAGTCATCCTCTTTGTGGCAATCCGCTATCCTAATATGAGAAAGACGTGTTTTAAAAGGCAAAGCTTGGTCTTTCTTCTGCCCTCCTCTCTGTCCACCTCTTCCATCCTCTTCCCCGTCTCTCTTTCCCCTCTGTTACGGCACCGATTCATCCTCATGTATATTAATGCTACAAAGCTGAAGAGTGAGGCAGACTAAAAATGAAACCTCCGACCGGAGAGCGCTTGTGTGCTCATTTTGTGAGCGTGCACAAGAATGTGTGCACTGGGTGTGTATATGTGTGTTAATACACACTCTCTTATCATTTTGGATACATATATTCAGGGCTGGGATCTGTCTCCACTTCACCCTCCACTGCATGTTGCTTCTTTCTGCTTCTCTCGCCCATTTAGAGCTGAGCAATAAGGCAAAAAATTATTTCCTTAAAAAATTTTAAACATATGAAAACTTGCCATATATCTACAATTATTGCTGTATTTCATTAGTTGTATAAATAGTGTGAAACTATTGTATTTCTGCCCTGCAGGTGCATCTCAAACCATTCGAACACGGTGAAAAGTTCAATTTATTTGTCAGTAACTTCAGAAAGTGAAACTTGTATATTACATAGATTCATTGCACAGAGTGAAACATTTCAAGCCTTTATTTCTTGTAATTTTGACGATTATAACTTACGAATTATGAAAAAATAAAATAAGAATATTCCAGAGCCAGCTGTTGGTACCTTTGTCAGTGTGAGTCGGTGCCGAGTCCTCTTGGAAAATGAACTCGGCATCTCTATAAAGCTCGTCAGCAGAAGCAGCATGAAGTCTCTAAAATGTCCTGCTAGATGTTACGTGGACTGTGGACTTTAGAAAACACAGTGGACCAACACCAGCAGAGGACATGGACCCAAACCATCACTGACTGTGGAAACTTCACTCTGGACCTCAAGCAACGTGGATTCTGGACCTCTCCTCTTCCTCCAGAACTGACAAGAAAATGTACTTAAATCTGAAAAGAGGACATGGACCACTGAGCAACAGTCCAGTTCTTTGTCTCCTCAGCAGGTAAGACACTTCTGATGTTGTCTCTGGTTCAGGAGTGGCTGGACTCGAGGACTGAGACATTTGTAGCTCATGTCCAGGAGTTAATCAGCTGATTAGGGTGAGACACCAGGAGGTTACAATACTGAACCTCTTCACTATATTCTCATTTTATTTTGTTTTTTCATTATCTGTGTTATAATCATCAAAATTACAAGAAATAAAGGTTTGAAATATTTCACTCTGTGTAATGAATATATGTAAAAATATGAGTTTCACTTTCTGAAGTGAATGACAAGAAATACTGAACTTTTTCAGAATATTGTTGTTTTTTGAAACGCACCTGTATTTGACTCACTGATGACGAGGACGCTGTGTTTTGTTCACAGTGACATCTTTATTTGCTGGATGTTTCTGGACTAGAATGCAGAGCGAACAGTTTGACCTAAAACAGTTGAAGTTTTTTTTTTTTTTTTTTTTTTTACTGTTTTAAGAGGATATCATTCTGCACATGCAGCTTGACTGAATTAAATGAGTCTTTGGTGGGTTTCTGCTAAACTTGATGATAGTCTGAGCTGCTCAGCGATTTCAGTCAGGTGTGTTGAAGCACATGCACAGCTGTAACATGCAGGACAGTGGACCACGAGGACCAAGGTTGGGGACTTCTGCTTTAGATGATCCTACAATTTTTCTGCTTTGGCAGATCGTCAATACCTTCACCATGTAATATCACCCAACTCAACACCCACTCATCTCCTGTCTGACTTTCAGCAGTAGAGTGGTGAGGGTTTTTTCCAGTCATCCAGACAAGACAGGTCAAAGTGACATTTTAATCTAAAATAGGGATTCAAGAAACAACCGCACAGAGGCAGACTGACAAAAACTCGCTTTTCGATTTAGTATACCCTGTGGCCACAGATGCATCTGTTCTCGGCTGATGCACAGCTCCAGCCCGACTCCCATTTTTCTTATAAATAATGCATTCTCACAGGAATCTGGGTTTAGCGTGTGTGCAAATTCTGCTTTTTGTATGTAAACAAGGGTGCGGAAGCACATCTGTCTGTTTCTGTGCGCTCACTTGTACAAGCGTGTGTTGAAACAATGGCTGTGTTGAGAGGCGGGCGGGATGGCTGACTCTCCTTTAGTTCCCCCTAAGAGGAGGAACGTGGGAAAAAGACGAATAAGAGCCATTCATCTTCTCACTGCCTTATTCACTACGTCTCCTTCTTACTCTCAGCCCCTCCTCATTCCCTCTTTCACATCACATCTTTGTTCCCTTAAATGGCCTCTTCTGGCTACCCCCCCCCCCCCCCGTTTTTGTACCCTGACACTTATGCACTTGATGAAAACAGAAAAGAAGAATTACACACGCAGAGACACACTGCTCCAATAATCTCCTGAGTGCACTCATGCCTGAGCTGTGATCTTCTGAAGCACATTCCTGAAACCAAGTGAGGATTCTTTGAATAAATGCACATCGCCCGCTGCCTTGCAGGCTAAAATTTGAAACACAGGTCTTTCATGAGAAAGAAAACAGTATGTGAAGGATTTTCAGCTACAACCACAATTACATGATCTCCTGCCTTTTATGTTTGCGGGAAATAATTCTTCAGCTCACAGTCCCATAAAAAACTTCCTCATCTCATCACTGGACTCTTAAGAATTTAACATCAGAAGAAGACCATTGAGCACGCTAACACTGGGGATGCTGCTAACACCCGGGACACCGCTAACACCCGGGACACAGCTAACACCCGGGACGCTGCTAACACCCGGGACACCGCTAACACCCGGGACACCACTAACACCCGGGACGCCACTAACACCCGGGACACCGCTAACACCCGGGGCGCTGCTAACACCCGGGACACCGCTAACACCCGGAACACCGCTAACACCCGGGACGCCACTAACACCAGGAACGCTGCTAACA